GTGTGTGTGTGTGTGTGTGTGTGTGTGTGTGTGTGTGTGTGTGTGTGATGGAGGTATGTATGTGGGCAGTTGTGTTTGAGCCATTTTATGGCAGGAACGGAAGGAGACAGTAGTTATGCTGTGGGAAAATCACAGCTCTAGCTCCAGCCCTAACCATAAGGGCACATCAGTTCCTGTCCATTTTGCTCACCGAAGGTAGAGAGACCTGCCTGCTTCCTGCCACAGGAGGCATTGAGGGTGTAGACCTGCCTGCTTCCTGCCACAGGAGGCATTGAGGGCGTAGGCGTGCCTTTCAAGACCACCTGAGCTCCTGCAGAATCGGCTCACAGGCATTGTGATGCTTCTTGGTGAGTAAGAGAGCACTGGCTGTGAAGTTAAGGAGGGTAAAAGCTTGCAAAGGTAAAAAGAACAGGGAGGCCCTTTGAGAAAATACACGCCATTAACCTTCCACAGAACCCACCCATGGGTGCATCAAGAAGAATGTGTCATGAATGGGACACATACCCATTCATCAGTGTCTTCAGAGGTCATGCAGCCGGCCCTTTCCGGCTTTGAAGCAGTGCTCACCTGGCCCTCGAACATGATTTTCAGACATTTCATAATTTTTATAGCCTGGGCTCAGTGGATCAACAATATACAGGCTTTAAGCTTTTTTTTTTTTTAAACATGTGTTAGACATATTGAAATCAGCCTGGTATCCTCTTGGGAAGAGACTGTGTGTGTGTGTGTGTGTGTGTGTGTGTGTGTGTGTGTGTATTCGTGTGTTGTGTGTATGTGTTTATTGTGTGTGTTCAGTGTGTTCTGAGTGTGTATCTGTGGGCTGTGTGTGTGTTGAGGGTGTTGGGAGTAAACAGTGAACACCAGAAACACTTGGAGTTTTTGTTTCTTAAGCTGCAAGAATTTGTGAACAAGAATGTGTTCACTTTTCCTAAGGCTTTGAAGTGGTAGAGGTTAGAAATTAATAGAAGATGGTACTAAGTGAGACACATTTGCATTTAAAGGGTATTCTACTCCCCAAATATCTGAGTTCTTAGTGAAGATGCTGGCCTCCAGCATGACCTGGGAATTCTGGGAAGAACCTCCAGAGCTTGGCTCTGGCCTGGGCCTGCTGGAGAAGATCGCAGCTCTCTAAAGGATCTGCCTCTGACACCCTCTCTCTCCCTATCCCAGCACTGCCCTCTGCTCGCTCATCCTGTCCACAGTTTCTTGCACTCCTGGGATTCTTGGCATGGTCAAGATCCTGTTTCTTCCAGAATCTCTACTAGGGATGTGCAGCTTCAAACAGGAAGGTGGCCTGGCTTGACCGACACACAGGACATTTGCAGAAGTAACCCCAGAACCAGGGAGGGGACACAAGACAGGACAGCAAACAGGAATCACAGCTCTGCCAAGGGCAAGCTGAGCCCCACAATCCGTTGTGTTCTCTCCGACCAACACACAGACACAGATTTCAGGCCCCGGGGCTCACCCCTCCTTTGTGACGCTGACAGTCACCCAGGCCTTAGAAACCATCACACATCTTTAAAGCCAGTGTGCTCACTTCAGAGATGAGGGACTTACGACTCCAGGAAGGGAGGGACCTGTCCAGGAGCAAGCGGCCTATCAACTGTGCTCAGTCCAAACCGCCTACATTTCAACGGCGGCTCCACTACTAGCAAGCTGAGTGAGAATGGACAGGTTACTTCCCTCCTCTGTGTCCCAGTTTTCTATTGGAGTGGGCATATAAAAACTCTCCCTGGTAAAAGTGCACAGTGCCCCGGGACCCCAGTGGGGAGGAAGAAGTGAGGCCCTAGCCTCACACACCAGAACTCCTGACTCATTACCCTTTCCGCATCTCTGAACTCATTCGAATGGAATCACAGAACATTTCAATTGGACACTGAAAAAAAAGACAACGATGTTTTAATTACCTGCTGGGATGTGCACTGCAGACCCACTTCTGTGGCGTATTTCCTTCAATCTCCTCCGAGCGTCATAGCCTCTCCAGGCTAAAAATATAAAACCATGTGCTGGGAATGACATTAATTTAAAAACGTGCCGGAGAATTGATACAAGCTGTTCCACCTGCAATCTGGGTCTCTCAGCCCCTGCCCCGCCCCACCCTTGCCTTCTTCCTGAGCAAATTCAGCAGCAGATGAACTACAGTGGAGGGTCTTTCAGAACTCTTGGTCAAGTTTTCAAGGTGCTATTGGGGGACCATTTTCAGTCAAACAGTGATTTTTTTTCCAGAACATTTTGAGTTCTATTTAGTAATAGTAAGGAGGTAATAGGGGAGGTAGTTTCCTGTTACCCCAAGCATGGAGGAAGCCCTGCCTTGATGAGAAGATGCCGGGAGGCACTGAACTAGCCCACTCCTTTCAGACATTTTATGCTCAGAAGAAAGGTATAATCGAGTAGGAAGATAAAGGGGCAGAGGGAGGCACCCAGCTAGTATTTGCTGAGGAAGAGGCAGCATCGTCCATGGAAAGGAAAGGCAAGGGAGAAAGCCAAGAGTGGAGAGAACAGAGTGCTGGACACTGACATCCCTCAGAGAGAGGGAGTGTAGAAAGCCTCCTCTCCAAGAAGAGCAGTTGCCTTCTATGTCCCCATGTTGGCCTGAGCATCTTCAAGTCTCATGAGGTCCAGCACATGTTAAAGCATGCTGTGATTCCTGCTAGGAGAGTGTGAAGAGGTGCATCTTCTGCTTTCAGGGTCTGTGGCTTTGTAACTGCTCGTCTGGAGCATGAGCCAAGTATTGTTCATTACCCCCAGGACATAAGGGCATGGACAGAGGCGTCAGCATGCCTGGAGAAAGCCTGGAGGCTTGTGGCCTCTGTTTACAAGGCTCAGACATGCCACAGAACCGTACCGGGATGGTGTTAGTCATTGTGAGGGGTGTGAATCATCTCAGTCTGCTCAGGAGACGGCACATGCCGAGTGATGGAGCTTGACAGCACTGCTCAGTTCACCCTGCCTCTCCCTCATCACTCAGGGTGGTTGCAATGGCTTGTATGTTTGTCTCCCTTTGAGGTCAGAGACCGTCAAGAGCTTCCCTTGCTACATTCCCAGCACCTAGTACAAGGCTTGACTGGTGTAGGTACTTGAAAAGTGTTTCCTGAAGTAAGGAAAGACAAGTCGAGGAGGGGAGAAGGGAAAGGGGGGTAGTCCTCAGCAGAGTGACCCCAGCACTCAAGGGAATACCAAGGGGTGGCACTGGGCAGAACCAGGCCGTTTACCTGACTGGATGGCTATGGCGCCCTTCTCCCTCTTCTCTCTCGCTCTCTTGTACCTCCTTGCTCCGAGCCAGCCCTTGGTATAAGCCTGCAGCATGACCACTCGGCCCATGACTTCTCGCAGAAGCAAATTTAATTGCTCAACATGGTAATATTTGAGAAAAACCTGAAAGAAAACATTGTTTTAGCGTTCCATTTGGGCTTCCCTACAGAAAAATCACTCCACTCCAGCCTATTCTTAATGCAAATATTAGAGCCATCGTCTAAGTAAAATTCACAATGATTTAGCTTGCACACACATTGCCGATTTCTGTGGGAGGGACTGGAAAACACAATTCCCCTTAGACAAGCCCAGGTGCTGTCTGGGACTGCCTCCCAATAGCCAGGAGTTGTATTTTCTCGGCTGAGCTCTGCCCTCATTGCTCCTCATAGCCTCTGACGCAGGCACTGAGCAAGAGGACCAACCTGGGTCAGCTGAGAGTCTGGAGGCCAGGTGACCTGGATGACCCTCAGCGATCAAATTTGCATAAAGGAAGTCCACAGGCAGGCTGGAACTGGCCTTGCAGATTAACAATAAAAGCGTGGGCTCCTTCAGGGACATAATGTTTCCCCAAATAAAAAGCTACATGTGATGAAACTAAAATCAGAGTACGCAATAAACAGCACAGGTCTAATGCAAAAAACAAGCAAGACTCTAAAAGCAACTTGCCGCTGTTCCTATGATTAATGTGTTAGCATGTGTGATAGATCTTGGAGTATGGAAAAGGGAACCTGTTAAAAATCTCTTTCTAGAAATGCAAAAGGTTCTCAAATTACAGAGCAGTGTACAAACCCTCCACCTCTGGCTTGCAGGTCCCAGACTTCTGAGCGAAGACCAGCAAACAGCATCTTTAGGTTGGAGGCTTGCCTGCCTTGGCATGCCAGGTACAAAGCCATTTTTGCTGGCTATCAGTGACAGAAAAGCATCACGGGTGACAGTCTGAACAATAAAGAGAGAGAGCTACCTTTGTTTTCCCCAGGACCCAGTGATCTAATCGGGACTTTTCCAAGATAGCAACACAGCTCTCTTTGTTAGCGGGAGGTGTTTGATGTGCCCGGAATGCCAAGTAATAATACCTACAAGACAAAGGATGAGAATGAAGCATCTTCAGTTGCCATTTCATTTACAGTAGAATTTTTCAGTTCCCACTAGTAAGTCTCAAGCTTTCCTAACTAGTAAATTTTTCCGGACCACCAATGATAGTATAGTAAGTGGCAAAAGATACACAATTTATACCTCATTTCTTTGTTATTTCCCTACGTTCATATTTTTCTTTTAATGTTATTTTTTAGGCCCATATTCAATGTCTGCTTTGTGCCTTTTATAAGCAAAATCAAAATATCTTCTCCTGTTAGAAAGCTGGGATTCGGATAACTGCTCTGGTGAATGACAAAATTGTAAATGTTAGGGCTAGTGTCAGAATATGGAATAATTTAAAGTCCATTGCATGGACTTTGATGGGCTTCAAAAAGTCCCATCGGAGGCATGGTGTCACTGGCAGGTGATTCTTGTGTATCTGTCTGGAGGGGCCATGTCCTCTTCACGCAGTCACTACTAGCACATTTGTTTTCTCAAATATCTTCATTTTAGCGACTGTCCAAACTTTAAGAAGAAAGGGTTTGTCAAAGAGCACTGACTGAAGAAAAGGCAAAGCCTCTTTTCCTCGCGCAGGCTTACGGCTGTGGTCCCTGCAACGGGAGGCAGAAGAGAAGGGGACACATGTTTATTTATGTCAGTTTTCTATAGCACAGGAGCCTTCGCTCACAAGGAAATGACGTCCTAAGACTCGGTCACACTTGAGTATTTTCAGGTTTGATGAGGTGATGGAGACAGGTGATCGAACAGGAGGGTGCAGCCTCATGACAGGAGCTTTGAAGGCCCTGGAAGGCCCTGAGTGCTCAGGTTTTCCCTGTGAGTCCCTGTATCCTTAGAGGCCCCTCTTCTCTGGGCTCACACCAAGGTCTACAACTTACTAGGGAAGGACTCATCTGCCCGCCTCACAATCTGCCTCCATGGGGAACAGCAGGGCAAGGTCACACTGACCTTCCTGATTCTGCTTTTGCTCAGGTGCCAAAATGCCATGCCCCAAATGTCATCACTACCAGAGGATTTTCCTCTTCCTTCTCCTCTCCTCCATCCTGAAGATCAAACCTAGCACCCTGCACACGTCTTTCCCTTGTATATTCTCATTTTTACAAAGTTACCGGACTATATTCTCCTTTCAGATGTTACCTTAGGGTTTTTGTTGTTGTTGTTTTCAAAACAACTTTCAAGGTTCCTTTTCTGCTCTTTGCTGCCATCTATAATTAAATTCAACCTTTTTTGAAACCTTAAAATAAACTAAATTTTCTTGTTGGAGGAATTTTCTTTTTCCATTCTCCAAACAATTCTAATCTGCTATTTAGAAATTCCTTTTAAATGTTTTAACTTGTAAGAGATCATCAAAATATGAAACATATTACTTTCACTATCAACTAGACCTTTCCTTACCTTTCTGTTTGCAGAAAAATAAACATACATGATCCGCTCTTAAGTCAACTTATTATTGTGCTCTGAGACTATGAGGCCATATTTGATGCAAACACTTGTAAGCAGAGAGAATCAGAGTCAGCTTACACCTGTGGAGAAGGGCACAGTGCTGGCAGATCATCATCAGCCAAGCTCAGGCATCTGCTCAGCTGAAGAAGGGGCTGCTGGGAGCGGAGCCTGGGCCTCCACCGTTTCAGGCAGCTGAGGCATCCACTCTTCAGCTTCGCCTTCCCCAGGACTGTCATTTTAGCCAAGTCTTCTCTTACTTGCCTTTGACCACAGCAGAAAGACTGTGCTCTGGTGTCCACAGGGATGGTGGGAATTGGCAAATTTACACGAGGGGGTTTGCAGAGAGCTTAAACTGTGAGAGACCGTGGATAACCAGGGTTTTCTAGATTCTTCAGCCTGGCAGGAAACCATAACATGGGGTGTTCAGCAGCCCAGAAACCCGGGCTTGCTCGAGACATCATGTGATACTACTGATAATGGGACATTTTTTTAAAACAAGCCTAATGAGTAAAGAGCAATGCGCAACACAGAATGCGACGCAAGACAAGGTCCCATTCTTCATCCAAAGGTTTCTGTTTCATTTTTAGGGAGCTGTGTGTGAATGGTTCTTAGTAACTTTTCAAAATAGGTTGAAAATTTGTCTTAATCTAAATAAATGTTAGGGTTTAACCCAAATCTCTTGATCTATTGTGATAATAATGTTCATATTTGGGATAGTTCACACAGAGATGTGGCAATGGCACAGACAGGAGGCAAAAATTCTAGAGCTACCAGAGAGGATAATCGACCTCTCTACTGGGCCACAGCAGCATAAGGCATTCCTCCTACGGAGTAATTTTGTATTTTGAGAATTTTGTATTCATGATGAAAAGCAGGTTTCATGGTGAAAAGCATGCTGAGCCCCCATGCGTTTCAGTGTAGAGATGGCAGTGACGGAATCGGCCAAGGGTCCTGCCTGAGGCAGAGGGTCTCTGACCAGATTGATCCCACAATTCCATCTTCTTTCTGAAGCAACTTGATGATGTGAAGGAGCAAGGGGGTTCGATAGCGAAGGGGTAAGAATAGGATTCTGTGTTGAGGGTCTGGACGCTTGAGGTGTTGGCCAAACCAGTTAGTTCTTCCGGATGCAACTGCCACTGATAAAGAAGAGCTAGCTCACAGTCTGGAGCCTGGGTGCTAAGAGCTGGGCCATCTTTGCCTGACTGTGGACATGCCTGGGTTCTCACCGGTGGGAAGAGGAATCAGGTGAATAGCGTTGCTGCCTCATTCTCCTCCTGCCCTCTTTCTCCCCCCCCCCCCGTCCTTTTCTTACTCCTCCCTCTTCCCCCGACCCTATGGTAGACGTGGGCTAACTGGTATAAGCTACACCATCTGTCTTCGAAAGTGCTCTTGTGGCTGGAGAGGTGGCTCAGCAGTTAAGAGTGTGCTACTCTTACATGCTGCTGAATGGTTGTTAGAGTCTAGATGGCCTCTCTACCCTCCAGCTAGTTTGAGACCTTTTGGATTTATGAAAGCTTTAAAGCACCATAACTGGGCAAATATCGACCCCCTGAGCTATTTTGCTATTTCCCAGCTACACACTCCAAATTACTTGCCATAATTGTTCCTGTCTGGGCTGCTTCTATTCCATCAGGCTAGCCCTCATGGCCACAAGATGATGGTCCATACTGCCTCATGGCAACTTCCTTCTTTCCTGCTTCCTCTCTTCCTTCTCTCGTCACCCCAAGTCCGGGAACCTAAGCTCCACCTACTTCTCTTCACCCCAACTATAGGCTGTTAGCTACTCTATCGAACCAGTCATTGGTGAGCAACGCTTACACCACCTCCCTTGAGGTACGTGAGAATGCACTCCTCTGGTGGCAACCAGAACTTGAGGATTCAGTATTTAGCATTAGAACACATAGCATCAGACCAACCCTCAACACTTACAGAAGACCCGAGTTCAAGTTTCCGACATCTATGTCAGGGAGCTCACAATGGGCTATAACTCCACCTTCAGATACCCTGTTCTGGCACCTACAGGCACACGTGTGCCTACTTTTATGTGCACACGGGCACCTATTTGCACTCATCAATAAAAGTAAATACATATAAATATGTTATCAAACTTCTCCTAATGAACGAACATGACCTTCCGAGGATGGGCTAAGAATAAAAATTGGCAAGTCCACAGAACTTCTCCATTTTTCCAAGAGAGAGCAGGTTGGAAAGATCCAAAGACCGGGGGGAGGGGTAGAAAAGACGGAGGGGCCACCAGGAAGGAATGAAGAGAAAGCAGACCTGGCTCTCTATGTGGCACCTGCACGTACTGAACCTTAAAGGCAAAGAAGCCTCAGGAGTTTGGGAGTCTCCCTAGTGTTCCTGATCAGCTATCAGAGAGATTTTATTTCTTATAAAGAAGTTATTGAGTCTATTTCAATACAATATGGGCAAAACTGAACTCACTAAACCAGACTTCAGACATTACCATGCGTGGGAAGAACCAGGGCAACTAGAATCTGTAAGACAGAATACTGTAGAGGGTGAAAGAGAATCCTGGAGCATGGTGGGGAGTCTCCTCAAGCAGAGTTTGGATTGGCATTTACACAGGAGGAAGCTACTCATGACCTAGGAAAGAATTGTTACAGCAACAGGCCATACCTGCCTCTCACATGGGGCTGGCAACAGCACCTGTCTCTACCAACCAGACTGGTTGACTATCTAATTCACAGGACAGTGACCAGAATGCTCAGAGGGTCTTCCTTTGCTTGTGAGAAAAATACTAAACAATGGTACCCAAAAAACTAAAGAGCAAGACTCAAGAGGACAAAACTGTTCCCAAGTTATTTAACTGTGTCCAAGGATCAAACACAAGAAATAGAAAATTGTCAATATTTGGCATCAAGATTATTAGGCATGCAGGGAAATACGACCTGCGATAAGAAGGGGGAAAAAATCAACCAATGGGAAAGAGTCAAGAATTGGCACAGGTATTAAAATTAACAGAAAAGGATGTGTCCCGGAGAGATGCTCAGTAGTTAATAGTGCCTGTTGCTCTCCCAGAGGACCAGTGTTGAGTCTCCAACACCCACATGGTGGGTCACAACCTTCTGTAACTCCAGTTCCCAGGCATCTGATGCCCTCCTCTAACCTCTGCGCCAGACATGCAAGTGATACACAGACATACATGCAGGCAGAGCGTTCACACACATGAATAAAGAAGGTCTAGACAAAGCTTAAAAACAGAGAAGGATATTAAAAGTTATTTTTGTGCTATTTCAAACGTTCGAAAGTTATGAAGAGAGAGAAAAGATAAAAAAAAACTTTAGGAAGTGACAACTACAAGTGTCTGAGACGGAAACTCTACAAAGTGAACTCAGAAACAGGTGAGTCACCACAGAGAACCTGTGAGTGAACCTGAGGACATGACAGCAGAAGTTATGCAAAAGAAATCAGCGGGCTGGAGCCATGGCCCAACAGTTAGGAGTGCTTACTGCTCTTGAAAAGGAACCAAGTTTGGTTCCTAGCATCTACGATGGGATCTCACAAAGTGCCTGTA